TTATAAATGCGCAACACTTACCATTTCAGTGTAAAGTAAATATGTATTACTATATATAAGCCTCTTAAACAACTCACCTCGCTCAGAGGAAAGAAAGTTTTCAAGTCTTTTCTTTTTTTTACATAGTACATTACATACATACATTTTCAAGAATTTCTGAGCCCTTTAAGTAGCATCGAATGTTAAATTGATATAACTAAGTTGTGTGGTTGTTTGAAATTCTTAAGATTTGAGATATAACCAAGAAAATTTTAATTAAATTCAAAATAGCTCGTAACTATCCTAAACTTTTAAAATAATTTTAAAATGTTTACAGTCCGGGAATATTATATTTTAAAATACTGACTGCAGTTGGCCAAAGGTCTGCGATTGAAGCTAATAAAAGTTGAAATTCCGGATCTTCCACACTTAACTAAGCGGTGTAAACGTAGGGCTTGGCTTGGTGCAGCAGTTCAAGAGTTGCAGGCTCGCAAAGTTGAAACCTACATAAACGCACACCCTGGGTAACCGTATAACCACAACTTTTTTGAATTGAAGTTTCATTAGTGCATAGAAAACAAAACAGATTTTTTCACGATTTCTACGTTTTTTCACAAAAAATATTTTTGAAATTAAAATATTTATAGACCCATTCTGTATCTTTGACAAACATTTTTTTACTGACAAAATTTAACTTTTTCAAATATTTTTTCATAAAAAAAATACAAAAAAAGTGACAAGAATTTGTCACTGACACAAAATAAAGCAGTTTATCTTAACGTAAAGTACGGGGCTGTAGCTATTCCATTTCGCGCGGATGTGCTAAGAAATTTCATTAAATTTCAGGAATATGTTTTTTTTTTAATATTGCCAAATTACGAAACGATCGACACTATGTTTATCGAAATGACAAATCGTTCCGTAGATGACGATTCCATTCTCAGAGCTTTATATCGAGCAGGTAAGATAAATTTGGAAAAGCTCCAGCAGCCGAAAAATCGCATATCCAAAAAACTTTGATACGGTTGTTGCAGAACCGCGCTATTCGTCTAACGCACTTCTACCTGCTTTTGGCGAGAAAAACCCCCGCCGTACTCCATGGGATTGGAGCATAGTTAAGACTTCTTAGATATCATCTAAATGGACCCAGTTACTTGTACTGTGTGTACGATTTTAGTGTCCACTGTAGTCTGGATGGTGTCCCAGGAGATCTCCCCCAATGCGTTTTCCTTCTATGATGGATGCATTAGTATTCGTTGTGACATGAGCTTTGAGTTTATGTACTTGCAGTTGTACTTTTTAATGATCCGCTGGGTTATACAACTTTTGAATATAACCTGCCTTAATCTTGTCGTCTCACTGAAGCTTTCGGTTGCACTGCTACGAGCATTTTTGCGCAACGCACAGCTTTATTATAGAACCTTAGAACATCTCTTTACATTTGAAATGGATTTTATAAGAAAGCATAGTTGTG